GGGAGGTTGTTATGCCTCCGTTCGGATTGCGGTTTCGGCCCGTTCTCAGGTCACGGCGTGACCTTTTTTGTTGCGTCATTTGATCCTTAAGTTCCATTGGCGTGTACACGTGATCCAGTTCAATGTGCCCGTTAATTGAGGAGTGCCAAGCTTTGAGGAATTCTCTGGCGTGTTTTGACCGGGCTTGGTCGATAATTTTCACTGAAGCGAAGTCAAACTGATGTCTTTTCCTGATCTTCGTTGAGGGAAATCAAAGATAGTGCGTCATGTCTCCTGACTACCGCTTGGTGTTCCCGGATCCTTGTTCACAGTTTTCTCCCAGTTTGTCCGATATAGTGTTTTCGGCAGTTCTTGCAATTTATTTTGTAGATAACACTGCTCTTGTCCTTCTCCATTGTTCTCCCCTTTGGTTTTGACAGAAGTCTCCTTAGACAGGCGGTAGGTTTGTGGGCGACTTGGAATCCATATGATCTGAGTAGTCTTGCCTTTATTTCTGAAACGTCCTTGGTGTACGGCAGGGTAGTTCTTGTTCCCGATTCTCCGTCTGTTCTTTCTTTGGGCTAGAGTTCTTTTGATGAAGTTGCGGGTGTAGCCGTTGCTAGCAAATACTCTGAGGAGATATCTTCTTGAGTATGTCGGTGCTGCAGTGCGTTTGGATTCTTCCGAACAAGGTTCTAACACAGCATCTTTTGTGGCTGTGTGGATGGTTAGTTTTGAACTTTAGAATTTAATCCGCATGCGTTNGCATGCGTTGCTTTGCGGTAGACCATTGTCTCCAGTTTTCCTGACGGCGTTCTCATGATCAAAATGTTCAAAAACCGCCAGTTGTTTATCTTTTTCCGTCTCCATTGTGAACTTGATGCCTTTGATTGTGTTATTGATGAAATTATTGTTGTTATTATGAATTTCCTAACATATCCGCCAAGTTTTTTTATTTATAGGTTGTTTATCTTGTCGTTCACTGATGCCCATTTTTCTGTTTGTTTTTTTAATTAGTCACAAGGTGTCACCTTGCGGCAACACGTGTGGCACTGGCTTGAGCATGAATTAGCTGTGGTCAATATATTAACGTCTCTTGATTCAACCGATCCGGCAGAGTTTGCCACTTCATTAAGCTCGACGTCACCCGACGGTGATCGAGCTGTTGACCTGGTTTCTCCCGTTCAAACCACCTCACTCAGTCGAGCCAAACGTCCGTTGAGTGGAATTTCAGTTGGTAAAGATCGATTATCAGGAGGTCAGTCTTCATCCTCATTTCCCTATTCTCACTCCTTAAATATCCTAATATGCTACCGCTCAGTTCTGTTACTGTGGTTTTTTGTGATGGTTTCACTTCAGTAAGAAGTTCACTTTTTAAAATCGCCCATAGCAATCCGGGGATTCATTACTGTTGTATTTTTCAATTGTATAGGGCTAGAAATCCTTATGACAGAAACAACAGCCTATCCAGGATTGTTCACATGCGTGATATTATCGGGTTGCCGAAACCAAAGCAGGTGTTTTTTGTTGTGTCTCGCCGGAACTACTGAACCCGGTCCCACGATGCGTTTCCCACCGATCCCGGTTAAAAAACAGTGTACGTCCTTATAGGTTGTGCCAGCCAAAAGTGGATTGAAAAAGGGAGAAACGTGCGGTATGTATCGGATTAATCACCGTCCGGTCATTTGTCCGAATTTTAGGTTACGAGGGCTCCGATAGAGAAGTCGCATAAACCAGGTTGACCGTTCTTTGTTCGTTACCCTGACGACTACGTAGCCAGGACTCCCGAGAAAACACCGACACGTTCTCAGGGTGTCGTCCGATCCCAATCCATTTCAAATACAAACAGAATTCTCAGTGTAACGTTAGACTTCCCCTGACAGTTCTGTTAATGATTCGCAACCAGACCCTTTGTTAAACTGAGGCTCGACACATAAAATAGCCGGGTCTAGTCTTTGAGCTAGCCTCAATGAGAGACCGGTGCCGTGCCATTAGAATCATACACCCGTCAAGTGTGATTCACGTGGCCTATCACCCAATCGCATTAGTATCCCTCAGATAAGGGTGCGCGAGTACCATTACGTGCGTCCCTTCTTGTGGAGTTTAGGATCACGGGCCTCGCGGCTCATTATCTGAGTTATATCCTCGTTTTTCGCTTCGTAACTGTACTGAGAATACTTTCTACTCAGATGCGATGTGGACCTCCCAACATATGCCCTCAGTGATCTACTCCATAAGAGCAATTGTTGTAACAGTAACGGTGCTTCCTTATCCTTATCACCCTTACCCTTCTTTTCAGGTTATTTCCGTATAGTTACTCTCCGAATTCCAATATTTTTTCTTCGTCGAACAACCAACTTTCAGTTTGTTTTTACTTTATATTGTCTGTTTTTTTCATTTTTCATTGTCTGTAAGATCATTATTGCGCAATGAATCGAGGACCGCTCACCACTCCGTCCTATTTAATTCAGTTGAATTCATGTGAGCCTCGGTCTGGAAGTTCGAAACCATCAGATTCTTCAAACAAACAGAGAGATACTTTATGCGCTTCAGCGGCAATATTTCTGTCCCCATCTACGATCTTAACTGAGACTCGTGAAGCGGAGTTAGAGCGAATACGAATTCGTCTTCAATGGCTTCGTGTAAGTTACGCAGCACTTGTTTTGGAACCTCAGACTAGTACATATGTCACGTCTGTGTGATTATTTTCATTGCTGCCCTTATCTTCGTTGCAGAACAGCTGTGCATATTTTACCACTATTTTGAGAGCAAATTATTGAACATTTGTTTAATCACATAACTATGAAACGTTTGATTTTCATCTACTTCCCTCCGTCCCACATTGTTTGTTGCTTATCTCAGAATCACAAAGCGTTCCTCACTTCACTGATTAACTTCTGTGGTCTTTACGGTGCAAGTGGTGTCGGACTGCCGGCTGTGCGTACTGAATTGTTGTTGTTGCTCACGGAACTGTACACCTATCCGGCCTATCAGCCACAGCCTATCTCCCCCTTCATGAACATCGGAAGTTCCGGAACAGATGGATCTATCGGCAGCCAAAGCCCATTACTCACAGGACGCTCCACATCGGTACTTCCTTGGCCGTCCAGCACGATTGGTTTAGTGGATGGTATTCCGTTGTTACGAACCACATTGCATCTACCTCCGGGAGTGCTGTTACTCCCGGATCCAATCAAGCATATACAGGTGCGCGTGTCCCTCTATTTTAACAGTAGTCTTTTCTGTGATATTTTTCGTCAGTGTTAGCTGTTAGTAGCACTAATAAATTACCTATTTGTTATGTCTTGCCGAACTATGTTATCACCAGCCAAAAAAGTAATCGTGGTCCTGGTCTTGGTTCAGTAAGGAATAAAACATGTAGTATTTATGGGTTTTCTCACTGTCACTGGAATGGGGGTTACGTGGGTAGCGATGGAAGACTTCCTAGAAATTAGGTCATCGTATTCTGCACTTTTACTCTGACGCCCACGTATCCAGTACGATCGTGAAATTGCCGACACGGTCGCGGCTGATCCCAATCCGGTGCAGTTTCAGTTTCAGTTTTACAACCATTAACCACGCACTTTCGTGCGCGGGTTTTGGTTGCCCATTTGGATAAGATTGATTTGATTGAAATTTGGATCGCTTCCTTGATTGCCGACCAGTCTTCATTGAGTCCTCCGGCTGATGGTTGATTTGAGAGGCGATCTGATAGTTCCGTTTCGAAGGCCGATTTGCAACTGTCGGTGATAGTGTATTGTGGGCATCCGTTTTCGGCGGCTTTTCTGCGGTTGTTTATCAGGCGTAGGGAGAATCTCGCTCGTAGCAGAGCATGGTCCGNATGGTCCGTGTCTATGCGTGTTGACCAGTAGGAGCGGCAGTCTTCAATGGATCCTCTCTAGCGGTGGCTGATGGCGATGTGGTTGATTTGAGTCCAGCGCCGTGAAGAAGTTGGTGGTTTACATGTAAGGCGGTGCCGTTTTTTGTGCGAGAAGTTTGTGCTTGACAGAGGCAGTCCGTGGTCAGCACAAAGTTGGAGTAGGCGTTCTCCGTTGTCAGTC